TTCACTGAAAGAATGTCTCTTTTGATGCATTTTACTTTGAATTGAACAAATATCTAATTACAAAAGTGTGATGGATGAGAGCTGATCTCACCAAAAGAACTGCAAGTCTTTTATTTCAGGTTGACCTGACACAATGTTGGGGTTTTTTCCTTCCATTTTTCAGTTCAAATATAATTGTTCAGACAGTCATTTGGCAGAAGATTTTACCATTTCTAAGGAAAAAATTGGCTTGGCTATCAAAAGCAGTTGTGGAAGCAAGCACTCCTGTTGGGACACATATCTATTGAGATAACAGGTACCTTACAGTCATGAAACACACTCTCCAGCATCACATAAAAAAGTTCAGAAAAAGACTGTCCCTCTTCCTGATTTTGATTGCCATCAACTACAGTTTCCCAATTTTACCAATTACAGTGCCTGAAAACTTTAAATTGATGACAGTCTGAGACCGTTGTTAGATTGCTGTCAAAATGACAATTTGGCACTGAGACTCACTTTCAGGACTTCCTGTTCAAATTCCCTAGATGAAGGCAAACTAGTACTAGAGAAGAAATGGAAGGTTCCAGGCAACTGGCATGTGTCTGCTTGATCCTGGTGGTCTTGCTTCACCGTGTATGTGGAACTTGATACACTTCAGTACACTACAGTCAGTGAAATTTTACTCAGACTTACAACCCAGAATTAAACTACCTTCTAAATTGCAAAAGCACATTACTAATGATGACAAGCTTCCCACACTGCACTTAAAACACTCTTTTCAGAAGCTACCATCCAGCACATGAGTATGTCATAAACTCCCTGAGTACCATGATGTCAAGTCAGAGAGGAGTGGTTTCACTGAGGTCACACAAAGGTTGCACATGGAAGGTGAAAACAGGGTTTAGTTCTCCTGTGTTCCAGTAAAGAGCTTTGACAGCAGACCATCGTCTCTCACTGATGTCAGCCTCTGTAATAAATGATGTCTCCTTGGTGGGGAACTGCCCAATCTGACATCATTAGCAGATCTGGAATTGCTAAAAGGTTTAGGGCTTCATCGTGTTTTGCTTTTAATTGAGCATGAAGCTGTCTTGGCAATAATACCATAAAAAGCCTTACACCCAAATAAAATCTGTTTGCATTGGCTGGTCTTCATGAAGTGATTCAGAACAACAAAGCTGCAACTTCTTTCTTCATGTCGGCACAGTTGTCAGGACTTAATATTGTGGGCTGCACGCCTTTGAATGAGATTAATTGCACAATGTTTGTGAAAGTGCAAAGCATTTGAAATGCATCTTGTGTGGGAAGAAAACAAATGGATCGGCCCTCCTCCCCTTTTTGGATCATTTGATCCCCTATTTGGATCACTATAAAAACAGATAAACTGCTGAGTAGGAGACAAATAAGTAGGGTCATTCTTGCAGGGAACTGTGCTTATGTCATGTTCACCCTGGATAAAACTAATATATCCTCATACGGCTTTGGAAAGATTTCTTCTTCATTCCCAAAATGAATAGTTGACAGTATATGAGAGAAATCTTTAAAAATAAAAGCACGTTTTTAAGTTTAGGTAAATAACACATTAAACCTTGAATTTAAAATCATCTTTACTGGTACCATTTTTCCAGTGATCACTGTTCTTGCTTGAGCATGCCACTCTTAGTAACCCACGCTTTTGAAGATCATAATTTTACAAATACTGAAAGATGTTTCCTCCATTCCCACCTGACTTCTGGTTCCCCAGCTCATGAGGGCAGTCCACATGATCCATACGCCACATGCTTTAATTTCCAGAATGTATATTATCCATAATTGATTTAATCCCTCAGCATTGTGAACTGTAACTGTATAATTAAATAAATGAGTTGTGTCTGTTTCTTGTTCTCCTCAGCCCCACAATACATGCATTTTACACAGATGACAAAGACATTTTAGTGTAGCATCATCAGATTTATTCAGTTAAGAGCCCTTTTCTACCACACAGATTTTTACTGCTCATTTCAGCAAGAGCAAGGTCCCAGTCTGCAACTGTGCACTGAGAGAATTTTCACAAATTTCTTAAGCCCATCTGTGAGGTGCCTTCAAAAGGAGTGCCATGCCTTTACCCCATGAGAATCCTTGTTGACTTCTCTGTACAAATTCCAGCAACAGTGTGGCTCTGCAATCAGCTAGATCAATCAGCTGAGCTAGAAGAATGGGAGCTCTGCTAAAAAATAAAATAAAATAAAATTTAGAAACAGGTTGTTTAACCAGATTGTCTTCCTGCAGGATTGCTATTGCCAAAGCATGGGATAGGCATGAGTGTGAGCACACAATTAGGTGCACTGGCAACAGTGGAATAGTCACTTCTCTTACAGCTTGAAGTCAACTCAGCCTTGGAGGGTCATCAGTAAGAAATGTATATTTCAGATGTACTGGGCTGAATCCTTTGCTGATAAGTCAATAAACTTAGGTCATTGCTAGAGGGGTCTGGACTAAAAATTTTTCCTATTATAGCCAGTCTTCCCCTGAAGCTGAATATATTAGGTAGTTCTCCAATATAGGTGAAATATATCCTCACCACTCCTGTTTTCATAGAGGGCACAGCAAGATGTGTTCTTAACCACACGCCTGACACAGCAAAACACATTGTGCTTATCTGTTCGTCAGCCCACAGCCATGATTCAGCTGCAATTATGACTCTTTCCCTGAAATAACAATTTCATCTATCATTATTATCATTATTATTACTATTACTGCACTATTTTTTTAAATGGCAAATACTATCTACCTTTGTGGAATGTAGGAAGGCTGTTTTACTTTTGATATTGAAAAGTTCTCTTTCAAAGTAAACATTGGCTGAACCTCAGAGTTGGTATACTGTTTAGGAATGCAGCCTTGCACAAAGCCAGAGGCTTTTCAGGGTGTTACAAGAAACCTCAGGCATTGCAGTCATCCTCAGGAATCAGATGAAAATGCTGTGTACACGTGTCAAAATGCCAGCTTCAACTGCGTGAATATGTCAACATGACTTGAGTTGGTAGGAAGGCAGGAGCTGTATGAAACAATAAAAAGCATTGTTCAACAGTCTGTTTTCTAAAATGGATTAACTGCATTAAAAAAATAACTTGAAAAAATAACACACAAAAAACAAGACAAAAGAAAAGCTGAAATAGAACTCAAGAATGAGACCCTACTGCTGCTCTTTCAAACAAGGTTAATAATTACAAGCAGGCAAAGAAAAAAGTCTGGAGTGTCCTACACTTTGTTCATTTGTAATTAAGACTCGTGTTATTTTCATTTTCACTCCATCCCATATCCTTTGCTTAAAAGTCAGAAAGTCTCACCAGCTGTCCCAAGATGGTCTTAGAACAGACTTTTTGGAGGAGAAGCAATCATTTCTTATAGGAAACAAACTTTACACTATAAAATCTCCAGATCTAACCACTGTTTTTTCTTTCCACAACGTAGCTACTCTCTCCAGCATTATGGGGACTATTCTCCTTACCATTAACATACTGTAGAATAGTGGCAAAACCTAGCTGTGTCCTGTCAGGTCCCTGTACTGTCATGTCCATCCAGGTGCTTGGAGACCCTGTGTCCTTTTGCAGCAGTGAACTTGGTCTGGAGAAGTAACAGAACAGCTGGAAAGGAAAAGGAATTAACAGCACTTCCACAGTCTCAGGTCTCTTTGCACAACTTGACAACTCATCTAGAAAACCCAGAATATATGAAGAGATGGAAATTTAAGCTCCTTATTCTGAAAGGGCAGTCTCTTAGACCTCCAGAGTCGTGACATCAGCAGTAGAACCAGGCAGAAAATGTGAAAGACATAGAAGACAACTTTTCAATAAAACCATTAGGAACAAAAGATATTTTAATTCTGAGTTGCTGTCCCAGCCCCTTAAGAGCCAAATATCACAGCTGTTCCTCTTCCTCCAAGATAGCATTTAAGCCAGGCTTTATTTTGCCATGATGCACTTTGGTGTCCACCTCTCAGAGGTGAGGTTGGCAATCAGAAGACATTCTCATCGATGATTGTCGTGACGAGATAGCCAAGGTCAGAGGAGCCTGGTTCAGAGGTAACCCAACCACTGCAGCAGTATGTCACAACCAAAAGGATGCTGAAAAAAGCTTGGAGAATCTTCAAGGTCATATGTTTTCTGTTTTGATCTCTGTTTTCTGTTTCTAGAAAATAACCCAGCATTTTTTTGCACATACAAACAAAAACACATTTCTGTCCCGTATTTCTAACAAGACTTAGTAGTAATGATGACTCAAAGCTGAAATTCATGATCTAACAGAGCCTCTCTGACTGATAACAGTAACATGAATAAGATATATTTGATGATGCTTTCTGGCTGGCAAGGGAAGGATAGACAATGTTTATGAGCCTCTCATTTGCACAGTGGTATAATGTAATGATGGAAGTGAAATGTCTAAGTGAAAGGGAAGATGCAAGATAGTTCCACATTCAACCTTCAGGCAAAAAGCAGAAGAAAGTCTGTCTGCACAGAGGCAGTAATGAAATGGCTCAATTGTCAAATAAAAATTAAAAAGCAGACATTTCTAGTTAGGAAATAAGATGGGAAAATTAGATAGATGTGACCAATCCTGTCTGGAGTAGTGAACCGGCATAGCAGCTAAAATCAACTAGGTAAGATGCTTAACACAAAGAATCAAAACTGGAAAAAATCCCACCCATTACAGATTGACCAAGAACTACATATTCTTGAAACTCAGCATGATTACAGTGATTTGGAAAGTGAGAAATCATTTGGAATGGGATTGAATGGAGACCCCACATCTCCTGATGTAATTATGCTAATTCCACAGAAGCTTACCCACTACAAATTATCGTTATAGATTCTTTAAAATTTGAAATGTGATTCCTAACAGATGCTATGAAGGTGTCAAACAGATCCTGCTGTGAGCAGAACTGCATGACAAGTCACATGAAAACTATCTGTTTCGGCAGCATAACCAGCAGAACATGCAATCGTGAGTTTCACATTTCACATTTCTCACTGAAATTAGGTAACGCTGGAAGAAGAAAAGTAGCAATGCCAGAAAAATGGGTTGTCTAATGCACCTGGTGGCAAGAGCTGTTCAAAAGATTTTTTCAAATCCATTCTACCAAAGGATTTTTAGATTAGAATTGTTATGCTGAGCACCAGTGAAGGACTTCTGGCTTCCTGATGTTTGATTCTCCCCACAACAAAAAGTCCTGGAAGTCCCCCAGGGCACTGAGACCTCTCATTCCTGATAGTCAACCTGATAGTCAGTATAGAATGGAATGGAACAGGATGGAATTACAGAAAGTTGAGGTAAGTACTTTTTGTGATAGTTTTTCTTCTCATTCTTCCATTTTGTTGACTTTGATCTAATATTCAATCTCTGCAAATATTAAAGAAGGTAAATCAAATGTTGGACTTGTGCCTCCTCTATAAAAAGTCAGAAATATTTCTCTAGTTTAATGTACACTCTTATTAAAAATCTTCTTAGTAAAATGAATTAAAGGAATCTGAAATAACTTATGAAATGTGTAAGTAATGTATATAGATGGCATAGATATTGTTACAATCACAAAACTAGCCAAATTCTAGCGTCTCAGTTCAGAAGGGCAGGGAGAATTGTACCAAGCATTAAAAAAGACAAAATCCATAACACTTCTGTGAGGCAAAATGTCCAGCAACAAGAAGTAATAAATTCAGGTCCACTAAAATATCCTGCTTTGGAAGCCAAAATATTTAATTTGATTTTCCTTTTTTAATACATTTTTATTTGTATATATATATATGTATATATATATTTGCTTTCACAGGGAGGGAATCATTATTTTTTTAAATGCAAGAATTCCAATACATAAATAAAATTTGACTTCAAAAACAATCAAAAAAAAAATCATGTTCAGATAATGAAATGCTATCTTTCAACCTTATTGAAGCACAAGATAATTTTATTTTATTTTTAATGAAACTTCACTGAAACAAATTTTAAAATTCCACTGGAAATTTTTCAATATCCTCTGCCTAGTCAGATATACACAATTCCATCTCTGCAAAGTAATCTTAGCTTTACTTCAGAGCACTTTCAGATGTCAAAGGAGCAGGGAGTAGTTCTCGGAGCAGCCTCCTGTCTGTCAGAGTGTCTTTAGCACTGGTTGGCACGGAGGCAGATTGTGGCCCTTTTTCATCTAACAGCTATTCAATGCAGCACATTTGTTATTCTTTGCTGCCAAGGAGACAATCTGCTTTTCATTTCCTCTGAAGAAGAGCGTAATACTATGAGTAAAACATCAGATATAATTAGGCAAAATGGTTGAGTGCCTGACTGAGCAGAGATATGGAACTGTCCTGAATATGAAAAATAGCCATACACCTGAGAAAGAAACAAGAGAAAGAAGAAAAGTACTACCCTCCCAACTGGAGCATGCAGAGGCTATCACATGTTACCCTTTTCTTGTGGAAGTAGGATATTTCCTAGGGATTGTGCCAATTAATCAGGTGTCCTCTCAAAACATCTATCAAACAAAAAAATTAAAATAAAATAAAAAAAAAAAATAAAATAAAATAAAATAAAACAAACCACACACACAGATCCTGCTTTTTTCCTACACAATGAAATAATATGTGCCTTAAAATGGAAAACCTGATTCCTACACATTTATAGGTTTGTATACAACCCGGACACAATTCTCCAGTGCTTTATGCCAATTACATGTGTGCCTGCATTTGAAAAATGTCCCTTAACTTACAGAATGAGGAGTTTGATATTTGTTGTTAGCAGCAAAAGACTTTTTACAATCAATTCATTAGTGTTCACAAGAAGTGAATGTTTTGAAACAAGAAAGCCTAAATTCTCATATTCCTCTGAGCCATCACATGCCTCATAGACCAGGAGGTTATGGAGGGCTGGAGTACCCTCATGGAAATGCAGGGATCCCTCAGAAGAAAGCAGAGGAGTCAGCTATCAGGTAACTGAAGCTCCCACTTCATCAAAGCTGGACAAAGACCTGCAAGGTGCAATTAGAAGTACTACCAGTCCATCAAAACTCAGTAAATAGAGTATTGCTATGGCTAGTAAGAGACCACAGGCTTCATACTGACTCTGCAAGCCTTATCTGGACTTGTCTCAACCTGCCTAGAGCTTTCTTTAGCCTGCCTAGAGCTTTCTTTAGCTATATTCCCTTGTAAAAGTAATTTTTTAATGACCAGGTAGCAATTGTTTTATCTGTTTTATTTCACTTATCTTTGGTTAATTATGTTGTCCAGCCATCATTTTTATAGATCCAGTTGTAAAAAACAGCTTTTCTGTACTAATGAATGAAGTAAACTTAAATATTGTCAAGAACAAGATAATTTAGGTGTAAAGGCAAGGTATGGTAGCAGAAAGCTTGAGGATGAGGACACAGGTCACAGTGTAGATGAGTACAGGTGTGGGATAACCAGAGAGAGGCCACAAGACAGCACTGGTGGCTCTGGGGACGCAACTACCTCACTAATCAAAGACCTGCTGACTCAAAGAATGTGTAAAACTGCTATTTAGGTGAATAAAGTGAACAAAACCAAGTCTTTAATAGATGTACTCCAAACAACAAATCTGGAGATGCAGACTAATGAAAAAAAAACCTCTAGTGTTAATATATACTAGAAAAAAAAAATTTAAAAATAGTCTCAAATATACCCTAGAGTAAAAGGAAAAGGCCTTCAACGCCACCCACATAGCCCTATGTGTGTAGAACTTAGGACACTGATGAAACCCTAACTCCTCTTCTAGACAGAAGACAGTGAGCCAAAGGGCAGGGGGGGGAACGTGCAAAGGAGTGTGCATACATCAATTTTAACTACATTGTTATTGAGCTATTTTCTAGAATTGTACTCTATTTTCCTTTCCTTTAGTATTTAGATCTGGACTAATAATTAATTATTCATTCATTATAATGATAGCAATTCACTCACACAAATAACATTTTACATTACAGGCAAGATATTTTCTTCCTGCAGAACAAAATTTTGAGTGTAATGCTACTTTTCACTCATGGATGATCTTCATACTTGCCCTGGACACCCATGGATGTAAGAAAGAGCAGCATGTCATTCTGCATTAATGTGTGACAGAGCAATAAATTCAGCACTGACAGTGTGAGAAAGATTGCCAGCTTTTCTTACAAGGACATATTGGCATCTTGTTTTCTGGGCTGAAGTAAAGTGACTCTGCTTGTGCTCTCCAAGCCTGACAGCTTCAAACGTGAAATCATAGCATCGCGGTTAGCCCAGCAGTGAACACAAGCCCTGCTGAGAACCAGGTTCAGACTACCCCAGGTTCAGCACGGCCCTAACACAGCCACAGCACTCCCAGTTTACAGCTGGCTCACATCTGGCTGCTTCAGAGAACAGGCTTCTCTCTGCCTGCAAATCAGCTCAGAGACATGCTCAAAGAGACAGCCCAGAAATCCAAAACACTCATGAAAACTTCTTGTATTCCCCATTTCCTTTCTATTCTTTCTCTCTCTCTCTTTTGCATCAGATTTTTGGGTATGGCTCCTCTCCAGGAGGGCACATGAATGCTTTACTAGCAAGAACACTGCCTACAATTTCACTAGTGGCTTAGGCAGTGATGATGTTAGTAAGAAACACTATGTGGAGTTTTCTGTGACAGGATGGCCATTGCTGATCATCCCAAAGCAGCACTGGAGGTGAGGAAGAAGCACACCTCAGCACACTACAACTCAGCACAACATGGTCCTCAAGTGGATTTCCTTCTTCATCAAATGTTCCTGTGCAGGACAACGCCTTTCAGCTACAAGAGGCAGCCAGATCTGTTGCTCATTTCAAGAGTATGTTACCTGAATGAGCAGTGACTAGGGGACACTTTCAGCTGCAGCCAAAGAGGATGATGTGGGTCAGCAATGCAAACTGATTCAGTCTAATAATTGTCATAGCTGAGAATGTCAGGAGGAGATTTACAATGGTTCTGCAGTCTGGCTTTAGCCTTTAAAAGTTAGGGTGGGGACGGTAAAGAAATTGGCAGCTGATAACAGAAATGGAATGAAATCAAAATATCTATTCTTTGTTTATTCATCATCTTGAAATATTTATAATGGTCCAAGTATCCCTCCACCCACCTCACACTAGAGCTTTTAAATATGTGTCCAGATTCAAGACTGGCAGTATCTTGAGTCCATCCTCGAATTAACCCGAACCCTTCTACTTTGACCATTAACAGATACTTTAACAAAATGAGACCAGAACCTAAGCTAGCACCAGCTTTGTATTTGCTGTCTAAACCCAAACTAATATTAGGTGTTAGAAGACTAAAATAATCCCTAATGAACCCAGGAAATGGCATCCTGAATGAAGTCGTGCAAGGCCTGACTCCAGCCAACAGGTCTCTGTTCTACATAGATATATATATATATACATAAAACAAATTTGGGGCCAACTGCCCTTAACAGAGCAATGTATACTACAGGACCTATCTGACCCCATCTGACTTAGGTTTCTCCATTCTCTAATTATTTTCTTTAAAAAGAACTGTACACATAGAGTCCATATTAAAATCACGAATGCCCATAATGCTCCCAGAGTTCACATCTGCAGTTTTCTTTGTTCTCTTTAAGGCAATGGCTGCCAGTAGGAAGATTACATGTTGCCTTGAATTTTCCCAGAATATGTCTCCTTGGATCCAGCATTATGGTTCAGCCTCTTGTACACATGGAGAGGGCAGCTGGAACATTTCAGATACAGATGTGAACCTCTCCAGAGTTAATTATTCACATTATTGTTTGCATCTTAGATTTCAGTTACCCAGCTTGTATTAAAGTCCTACATACTATGCACTAGCCTTGGTGTGCCAATACCTTTTGGGAATTTCTGGCTGTAACTACTGCTTCATATGTATGCTCCCAGACACTTTTTGTTTTGTGCAACTGGTAGTGAGATTGTGAACATATACACGGAAAAAAAAGTCTACTGGAAAAGCAGTTATTTAAACAATTAGCAGCATAGAGGAGATTAAGGATAGCTCTTCTAAAACCCTTTAGCTTCATTCCTTATTCTCTGTAGTCCCCATGCATTCCCTCCCTTTGCTGATCTGAAATTCCTAGCCCTGCTGGCAGTTGTCTTTGTGTACTGTTTTTGCTGAAATTGCAAGACACTTTGTCAAAAGGTTTGTGAAGGATGACACTTTCTCTCAGATCTGAAGGAACAGCTAGATCATTCCCTCCCACATCCTCCATGCACTTGCTACAGAAGATCTGTGTGGTGTTTATGATGATCTATTTCGGAATTCTTTAACATCGGACACTCTGGCCTCATAGTCTGAC